CCTTGGACACTTCCCCTAATCACCCACACCTGCTTTTAATCAAGACCTTTTAATTGGGGGCGGGCACTGCAGGAAAAGAAACACAGGACAGAGGGAGAGAGAACACGGAGGAGGACGAGAGGAGGAGGACGCGGGACCGGGCCAAGGATGAGGACGAGCACCGCCAGCCAGAGACCACGGTGCACTGAGGCCAGCGGGGGGAGCGGCACCGGTAAGGGGGGCGCGCATTGACAGCGCATGAAGGCGCGTGCGCGCCCGGGCTAGGCCCAACGACGACCGGGATGTGCCGGCTCTCCCACGCGGGTGCCAGGTGCCGACCCGTGGTCGGCTAGTGGCTGGCGGAACTGCGGCCCGGTCCCGGGTGAGAAGAGCGGAGGACAGTGGGGACGGACTCTGGGATTTTAATCATCTTTTATGGATCCCTTTTGTAAATATTTTTATTAAATTTTATCCCCTTTTTATCCGGTTTCCCTTTTTATTGATCACACCCCCTCAACAGACACTTTTAAACCTGTGACATCTGGAATTCAGTTGTTGACTTGTGAGCTGGTGAGATGGTAAACATTTGTCATTCAGCCAACTTCAGCTCCGTTATAGATCATCATAAAGCTCAGAAAAGCCTGTTGAAAGTCAAGACAGTTTTTCAGTCCGTGATGTCGGCCCTTGGACTAGTCTGGTGAACTAAAGTGGCCCTCTTACTAAAATGTTTGGACGCCTGTGGTAGATTAACTCACTGAAACTCACAAGCTGATAAATGGCCTGGATGGAAATGAAAGGGGAAACTTCTTCTTTTGGGTCTACGGCAGTGGGCAAACAACCTTTTGGTGTGCATTTACCGCCCCCCTCTGGACCGGAGTGTGAGCCAGTATGTTTCTATATTCGTTCAATTAGTCTAGCTTTAACTAAATGGTTGATTACTTCTCTACCAACAGTACTATGTGTGTTTGTTTAAATGTGTGTACGGCGGCACGGTGGCTGAGTGGACAGCACTCTGGCCTCTCAGCAAGAAAGTCCTGGTTTCGAATCCTGGTCGGAACCGGGCCTTCCCCTACCACTAAAAACATGCACAATAGATATGACTGTAAATGAGAGAGAGAATGGATGTTGGTTGGGGGCTGATGGTCCAGTGCGTTCAGAGTCTCGCTTCTGTCATCACCGTGTGTGGAATGATTGGAACAATATCTGACTCTGAACATTGTAAACAGCTTTGGGTCTGTACCTTGGTCTGTGAAATGCGCTATATAAATAAACATTACTTACTTACTTGTGTTTATGTTTAGGACTCCCTCGAAAATGAGACACATTGTACCAGGTTGTAGCAGCAATGCTAATTTACACCTGTAGTCCTTGAGCAGGTTGTTGTAGATGGATACATTACCATTCAGACAGAAATTAAAATGTAATTTACCACATGGTTATAAAAAATAAAACCACCCAGCCCCCATACATTCCTAAGCTGAACTCACACACACACACACAGACAGACAAATGATTCTCAAAAATGAGTTCAAAAATCTAGAGTCTAGCATTTGTAAGCTCCATGTCTGTTAGTATTTGTGTGTGTTCCGCCTTTGAATAAAAACCAAAAATCTCTCTGTAACTGTAGTTTGCCGACTCTTTGATTTCTGCTCTGCCTCTCGTCTGTAGCAGCGGTATATCTGTCTTTGTATGTATATATATTATTGCATTATTAAACTGTTCTCAGGCTGTGCTTTTAGAGTTTTCAGCGCTTTCCTTCGCTCGTTGCAGCCGCCGCCTCGCTGCCAATATCCCCTCAGCCATCCATCCGCGGTGCTGAGGGCGCACATTGGACGGGACACGCTCCACTTCTAATACAATTGCTATCGACCGGGCGCAGACAGGGGGAGACTAATTGAATGGGCTTGTAAATCTAACCCTAACCCTGGCCTGGTGGGGTGGACTGGGGCCGGGCATCGTGTTTGGACGGGTGTGGGTGAAATACGTGCGCCTAATGGGAGGAGGAAGTACTGTATTGTCCAATCAGCCGGGCGCCTCTAAAACGAAAAAGAAATATAGAAGCAATTAATATATTAGTTTTCTGAGAACTCGGAACTCTTACGGATAGACGACACAATCACTGATATCGTAGATGTTCATGGAAATCCTGTCCATTGAAATGCAGGAGAAGAAGAATCGCAACAATCCAAACATTTACAAACTCACCTTATAATCCAAACCATGTAAGACCATTACGCACCATATGAACCAACTCGGACTCTGAGGAGCAGGGACGGGCCTCCTGCTGGTCCCAGAGTCAGGATTAAAGGTGCCATATTTCGCTTTTCTTCACTTTTCACAGTCCATCCTCTGCACGTGTGTGATAATAATTTGGGTGATACACCATATAACACTCAAAACTGGTCAAATTATAGTCTTTTTGTGCATAAAGGTGCTGTCAGCTCATGTGAAACGAGCTGATCTATGGTCCTCTGCCTGTGAGCCCACCTTGCCTCGCCCGCACAGTGACGTAGCATCACGCTAAGTTCCGAGGTAAACAAATCAGCAAGCGTTAACTGTAGCTTTTGCTGTTACAGTCATTTCAGACCTGAGAATAAACTTATTCCAACAATGGCAACCAGTCATATAGAGCCCTATGTCCTCGATCCAGAATGAGACCTTTTTATCTAGTTCACAGTGACACAATGAGAGTTAGCATCACTGTACTCACAGACCGGGGCTCCTGTTAGCGTCTTATATGTTGGAATAATACCAGGTTTCATGCACATTTTTGGCCCATTAGTTAGAACGGCGGAGATAGGTGTGACTACGACCGTTAATATATACAGTCTATGGCACGGACGTTTATTTACTGTCTATGGACCACACGCTGGACTCAGAGAGAGGCTGCAGCTGACCATGGATGGCGCTGATTCACTGGTTCAGTTTCTCCCAGCTGTCAATCTCCTCTTGGATGCGGGCTTTTGACGTCACGGATTGTGCCTCGTCAGAATTTTTATATGGCAAGAGCCGTGATTGGTCCGGGACAGGTCTCTGCTGATCAGGTGGAAACATTGCATTTCTGTAACCGACTTCTGGATAGAGAAATATTCTGGACTCAGGCCTTTAGCGCTGTCCTTGATCCCGAGTGTAGATCAGGGATGTCAAACCGGTTCCAGAAAGGGCCGGTCTGGCTGTAGGCTTTACTTCAAACCAAAGTGAGTTCAGCCTTAATATTTACAGTCTATGGCCTTAACCTGAAGACTGGGGTTTGAGGTGCTCCTGCTTGGTTAGAGTTAAACCCTGCAGCCACATTGGCCCTCTGAGATCTGGTTTGACACCCCTGATTTCGATGGAGGTCATGTTTTGGTAGATGTGCAAGAACGTTTTGGGGGAAAGGGGCACGTTCCATAGATAAGATTACTCTCAGGTGGACTCATCAATCATCAGGTTGCACTCAAAGAAAAGGAGGTCGACTGCTTCTGCAAGAAAGCATAAGTTTGTGGTCGTGACGAGACTAAAAATGTGAGAAAGTTCATGCGGCGAATACTTTTTTAAGCCACTGTGCGAACTGTAAGATAGATGTGACATATTTTATTGTAGGCAAGATGCACCGCGGGGATAATGAGGCTGTAGGCTGCATGAAAGGAGAGCCGTGGGAGGGAGATCTGCAGGAGACTATGGAGGGGAAGTTATATTTAGTTTTAGAAAAGATTATGAAAGATGGACCAATAACCTCCAGTGTGATTTTAAGATTCAGTGATAGTCAAAAAAGTCAATCCAAAATGAAAGGCAACTCAATTCTCTTCCTTCTCAGACGCCTGCTGTCTGTTTTGAAGATTCGCTCATCGCATGAAGCTTGTTTTGACATTTCAAAGAGAGAATAAAGTTGCATCACATCACACCATTTTTTTCTGCTGTCAATTTTTCCCTTGTCATTTCCCCGCCGTGGTTTTTGCATCAGCTTTATGATAAAATAAAATGTACTTCTATTGTTGCCTCCCAAAGACAATAGTTATGGGTTTATTGTGCATGTATATCAAGTTTCATAGAGTTTCATATAGTCCTAACTTGTTTTCCTTATAAACAACGCACAACAGAGTTTTGTAAACGTAAAACAAATCAGCCCACAACCTTCTATAGGTAAAGGTAAAGGTGCACTTTATTAATCCCTGTAGGGCAGGGGTCGGCAACTGAAAAGGTTCAAAGAGCCAAATTTGACAAAAAAACTAAAAACAGGGGTGCACATAAATGGGACGCAGGTGTGCATGCGCAACAAATATCAGAAATGCGTACGATCACTCTATCTATCTAAAGCTTGACAGAATCAATGAAAAATCTACCATGGACGTGTGTATGAGGCCAAATACCACTGTAATTATGTTTAAAGCAGAGAAAAGTCAAAGTGGGTCCTTTAACGTTAATGCTTACTTCTGGGTTTACCACAATTTCTCCTCATCCTCATTTGAACATAAAGTCATCTGAATTTGGTTTCTCAACAGAATCAAAAAGTCTTGACTTAATGAGAATGCATTTGTTTATTTATCGCTCGACAAGATAAAGGGTTCGAGTACGTTCACTTTGGTTTCTGCACTGAAGCCAAAGTGCATTAAATTACCTTTAGTTTGACTTGTTAGAGATTCCTGACCAGTTACACACAACTTTAACTGTAAACAATTACTTTGTCAATGAAACAAGAACTCCCATTGGACAAAAGTTCTTGTTTAAATTAAAATGTGTGAAAACTCACCAGAAACATCTTAAAGCAGGTGAAACCTCTGAAGTCATGTTAGATCCTCTGGATACTAACTATGTTCACTGACTAAGATCAAACCTCCTCAAGTCACGTATGACTCGACAAGATGAAGATCTAGTTTAGTGTCATGTTAGATCCTCTGGATAATAACTTTCTAAACTTACTGAGATCATACCTCCTCAAGTCACGTATGACTCGACAAGATAAAGATCTAGTTTAATGTCATGTTAGCAAGATGCTAGCTTTGTCCTGAACACCACGTCTAACACTAATGTCTGTGTTTGTTTTAGAAACACCACCAACTCTTCCTCCTCTTCTTCTTCTTGTGCAGCCCGTTGACTTTGTCCTGGAGCTCATGAACCTGGAGCTCCAGAGCAGTGTTGTAGTCCTGAGAGGAGGTCAGGTCCTCAGACAGCTTCTGTACCTGCTGCTCCAGGATCAGCCGGCTCTGTTTCTCTGAACACAGCTGATCTCGGTGGAGCTGCTGAAGCTTCTCTTTGAGGACTTCTTTGATGTCTCTGTTGCAGGCAGGACGTTCTGTAGTATTTTTCATATCAGTGCTCTTTTGTTCCTCCTCCTCACTCCACAAATTCTCAGTCTCTTGTTTCTCCTCTCGCAGGACCTGTCTGAGCTCGGTCACCTGACCTTTCAGACTTTTCTCTTCTTCGGCCCTCTGGTTGTCCTGGAGGGCCTGGGTTCGATTGTCTCTTTTTATCACCTTTTCCTCGAGGTCAAAGTTGGCAACTTTCAGGTCTGCGATCTCCGCCCACACAGCTTCTCGGGCTTCCTCCACTTGTGCAGCTAAAGCAGAAGCCTTCTGTTGTTTCAGATGATGGATCTCACACTCTTTGTCCTCCAGCTCCTTGTTGTGCTCATTCTGGACATTCTCACACTGTGCTTTGAAGGCCTGTATCTGCTCCTGTTTAGTCTGAAGCTTCTCTTTGAGCTCCTCTACCAGCTGCAGCAGAGCAGTCTGGGAGGTCTGGGCCTCTCTGGTGGCCTGCTTCTCCTGGTCCAGGACAGATCTTAGGACGGACACTTGGATCTTCAGCTCGTGCGTCTCTCTCTCCTTCTCCTGCAGTTTGTGCTCAGCTTCACTGGTGAGACTCTTCTCCTGGTTCAGGGCAGACATGAGAGAGTCCAGTGTTGTTGACAGCTTCTGTGTCTCTGTCTGTAACTGCTCCACATGTCTCTGGGCTGTGACTGTGGCTTGGTCTCTCTCACTCAGATCTGACTGGAGTTGGGTCACATGACTCCTCAGTGACTCCTTCTCCTGCTGCTCCTGCTGCAGCTCCTGTTGCAGAGCTGTGATCTGGTTCCTCAGAGCGGCCTTCTGTCGGGACGTCTCAGAGATTGCATCCAGGAGTCTCTGTGCTCTCTTGTCTTTACGGTCCAGTATGGTTTCGAGCCTGGCGTTTATTTCAGACAGATCGCGTATCTTGTCCTCCACAGCTTCCTTGGCCTCCTGCATCTGGTCACGAAAAGCATCCTCAGCCCTATCCTCTAAACTCCTGATGACATTGTCTTTGGCTTCCAGCTCATTCTTGTGCTGATTCTCCATGTACTCCATCCAGTGCTCGCACTGAGCCTGGTGGCGAGATTTGAAGGCCCAAATCTCGCCTGGATCCCGCTCTACATCCAGTTTGAGGTTCTCTATCTGTGTGAGAAGCTCTTCCTGGGAGGCCTGGTTCCTCTGCTGTTCCCTCTCCAACTGTAGCTTCAGCTCTTGGTTCTGTCTGAGCAGATGTTGAGAGAGGGCCTGGTCCTGCGGAGCGTCCACAGACACAGTGTTATTAATGAGTTGTGGAGACTCATTATTTGGCGGTTGGTTCGGGCGGGGCGTCCTGCGCCTCCTGCGACGCGAACTGTGGCTCATGTCAACGTTTTCGTTGCGAAAATCCATGTTTTGTTCTGTTCGTTTATAACTTCTGAAAATGCAAATCTGTGCTATTGTCTAAAGTGATTCTACTCCCATCAACTCAAATCTAGGCCTTTGATTATGTCAGAATGCTGATCTCATAGTTACCATAGCAACAGCTATTCCGTGGAATCATCTGGTTTCCATAGTTACCAATATTACAATTAACCACTTTGCTACTTTGCTATATATATATATATATATATATATATATATATATATATATATATATATATATATATATATATATATATATATAAATCAGCAAAGCAGAAGTGCTTACTATCACACATTTAGACAGATTTGTGAACAATGTTTGAAAGAAATGGTAGTATTGTGTATCTGGAATGAATGGATCTTTAAATCCATCTGTCACTGTGCAGACACTTGCCCTGTAGCTGGAACTCATTTAAAGCTGCGATACCTAACTTTCCAACCACAAAATATGTTAAAAACCCTTGTTCCTGTCTTTAAAACAGTTTGCACATGCATGTATTCTTGTTCTCTGTCACAGGGCTTTTTCTTACAAGTATCAGCCTTATTATTAGATGTGTATGAAACAGCATGTTGAGGTCTGAACAGATTTTCTGTTGGAAAAAATCACAAGGTATTAGTGATGTAATAAACAAAAGTATCATTAACCCAGCTTTAAAGTATCTTAACTAACATACTTTTACACAAAAGATGAAAACTTGTGATATAAATGCACTGTTTTGAGAGTAAGGAATTGATGATATGGACAATGTGCTCCGCTCTGCAAGGAGGACTGTGTGCTGTGGGTTCTGCAGGTTATTTATGAATCCAGACTCTTCAACTGAGCTTATGAATGTTCTTTTAGCTTCTCTTAATCTTGTACTTTTCCTGACATGTTCTGTTCCTCCTCCACAGGTCCTTGGGCTCCTTCTCCATCAAATCTTGTGGACAGGACTCTGCTTCTAAGCTAAGTCCTCATTTTCTGACACTATGCCTGGCTCCTCTGCTAGCTCCTCTCTGTCCAGGACGACACCTGTCTACACCTCTTCTTCTCTCCCCCCTCGCCCTTCTGTTCCTCCTCCTCCCCCTCCTTCTCCTCCTGCGACTAAGTCTAAGTCTAAGTCTTGCTCTGCTCCCTAAACTTTTCTCTGCTCCTGCTGTTCCTCGATTGGTCCCTGTGTCTTGGCTCCGCACTGTTCACCCTGGCAGGATCCTCTCTCGTCCTCCTCCCTCTGCTTATTCTAGGTGGAACAGATGAGTTCAGACAGTGGAGAGGCAGAGTGGAGGAGGAGGTTATACACGCGTTCACATTGAATACAGGTAAATCATCATATGAACATCCCATGTGTCTCTCCTCCCACTTCAATGCTTTGTTGTCTTCAGGACAATAATTATGCGTGATGGAAAACCAGAAGACAAAAAAAAAAAAAATGGAAATTCTAGGCTTTTAACAATTGGTTGAGATACAGTTTGAAATAGGCAAGGCAAGGTAAGTTTATTTATATAGCACAATTCATATACAAGGCAATTCAAAGTGCTGAACAAAACAAGAAAGCATTAAAATCATAAATAATCACAGAACATTAAAAAGAAAGATAAAAATATAAAATCCCTCAGTTGTATGCACAGCTAAACAGAACTGTCTTTAACTTGGTTTTAAACATAGTCAGAGAGGAGGCCTGTCTCACATCTTCAGGAAGACTGTTCCAGATTTTAGCAGCATGAATCTGAAAAGCAGCCTCCCCATGTTTAGTTCTGACTCTGGGCACTAACAGGAGTCCAGTCCCTGTGCTCCTCAGAGTCCGGGCTGGTTCATGGACTAACATGTCACTAATATATTTTGGTGCGAGGCCATGAAGAGACTTGTACACAAGCAGAGCTGTTTTAAAGTCTATTCTCTGAGCCACAGAAAGCCAATGCAGAGACCTGAGAACTGGACTAATGTGGTCGTACTTCCTGGTTCTAGTCAGGACTAATGTGGTCATACTTCCTGGTTCTAGTCAGGACTGATATGGTCGTACTTCCTGGTTCTAGTCAGGACTAATGTGGTCGTACTTCCTGGTTCTAGTCAGGACTAATGTGGTCGTACTCCTGGTTCTAGTCAGGACTAATATGGTCGTACTTCCTGGTTCTAGTCAGGACTCGATCTGCTGCATTTTGAATGTACTGCAGCTGTTTTACAGCCTGTTTGGACAGACCTGTGAGCAGGCCATTGCAGTAGTCTAACCTACTGGAGACAAATGCATGGATAAGAATCTCCAGGTCTGCTTTAGACACTATGTTTTTGATCCTGGCAATGTTCTTTAGATGGTAAAAAGCTGCTGATATTACTGATTTGATGTGGCTATTAAAATTTAAGTCTGAGTCCAGTATTACCCCTAGATTTCTGACCTTGTTTGAAGGTTTTAGGGAGAGAGACTGGAGGTGACAGATGACGCTCTCTCTTTGTTTCTGGGGACCAAAGACAATCATTTCAGTTTTGTCTGCGTTTAGCTGAAGGAAGTTGTTTTGCATCCACTCACTGATCTGTTGGATACAGTGAAGGAGTGAGTCCACTGGTCCATGTTCTCCTGCAGTCAGTGAGACATAGATCTGAGTGTCGTCTGCATAGTTATGATAGGACACTTTGTTTCTGCGTATTAACTGACATATCATTTGTAACCTTGACGAGAGCAGTCTCAGTGCTGTGGTGGGGTCTAAAGCCGGACTGAAACATATCAAATGAGTTGTTGATTATAAGAAATCTATTTAGCTGTAGGTAGACAACTTTCTCAAGGACTTTCCCCATAAATGGCAGATTTGAGATGGGACGATAGTTGTTAAGTACCGTAGCATCCAGACTGCTCTTTTTTAGCAGGGGCCTGATGACTGCAGTTTTCAGGGCCTTTGGGAATATTCCAGAATGAAGGGACATGTTTACTATCTGTGTGAGTGAAGGTAACAGACTGCTCAGAACAGACTTCAGAAATCTAGTGGGTAGTACATCCAGGCTGCATGTGGAGGAGCTCAGACTGGAGATTATCTCTTGGACAGTTTGATCATTTACAGGTGCAAAGTAAGTTAGCTCAAAGAGCCTTTTTGGCTGTTGGATTGTCATCTGTGGATTGGAGACAATGGCGTTTTTGATGCCTTGAACCTTGTCATTGAAAAAATGAGCAAACTCAAAATAAATAAAAGTGCCTAAAACATGGTGACACTGTAGCCTGGTCGTACAACACCATAGTACAAATTACATTTCTTTTTTATTTGCATGTTTTTATTTTTATTTATTTTTTTTTTTTTATTTTAAATATTTTTTTTTTACCTTTATTAAAGACAACAAAACACAAAACAGACAGGTACATCAACATTCAACAAGAACAAACATACATGAAAGGATACAAATATATAACAATAATAACAACAGACAAACGTACACATTTAGACAAAGTGATAATTACACATAGACAAACAGATTATTCGATGTTAAATTAAGTGTGTGTGTGTGTGTGTGTACGTGTGTGTACGTGTGTACGTGCGTGTGGGTAAGTGTGGGTGCTGTGGGGTGCGGTGTGTGCAACATTTGTTGAACCACATGATCAAGACACCATTTTCTAGTTTGAGCTACCTCTAAGTGAGACCTTCCCTCCGCCGTTCCTGCTCATTGCCAGCGTCCTTCTTATTTATTATAATCATATATATACTTATATACAAGTTATTTTTATTTATTAATTCTTTCTTTGTTTATTTAATTTTTTTTTTTAAATACGAAGTGTTTTGTTTTGTTAACTCAGTGGTTCTATATAAGCGTGTATGAGATGCGTTAAAAAGGCCCGAAAAAAGTGCCCGCCCGGGATCCGAGTGGCGCTCCTCCTTCGGACCTGCCAGGTCATGTGTGTGTGTGTGTTTTTATTTTATTTTATTTATTGATAATAATAATAATAACAATAACAACAACAAGAATAACAACAACAACATTATTATTATTACCATTATTACCATCATTACCATCACTACCATCATCATCTTCTTCCCCTATACAGGGGTGCATTTGAAAGACACTGGCCGTGGCAGGGAGGGGGGGAGTGTATGTTATTTATCTACTAAGATTAATGAAAATGATGATGATTGATCATGCGGGTCAAAGTGGGAGGGTTTAACTTTTAACTCGCCATATAGGGAGGGTATATCTGTACAATTGTGCTTGCAAGTTATTTTAGTGTGTGCATGTGTGCGTGAGTGTGTGTGCGTATGCGCGTGCGTGAGTGTGTGTGTGCGTGCGTGTGTGCATGCATGCATGAGTGTTGGCGTGAGTGTGTGCGTGTATGGTTTAAGTGAGTGATACCCTTTTCAGCCCACGTGGCAAAATGAAGTGTTTTTTTATTACATACAAAATCCGGGTTATTCCATAGTGGAGAGAAAATGGATGGAGAAATTGTGGAGTTAGTAATTTGGTGGAGTTTCCACCAGGCTGTCAGAGCGGAAGATATTGTCGCTGCTTTGAAACATGAATGTCTTTTAATGGTTTGTGTGAGAAAGGGTATGTCTGATATCTTAATGTCTCTGCATAGCGATTGCTCTATATCTAACCAGGGGGTATCTGCTTCAGTGGGGTGTGTCCATTTATATATACAAATTACATTTCTTACTCAGGTCTGGAGGTGCTCCATTGACTCAATTAACAGGTGGATCGTTTCAATATGAAAAACTCCTTTTGCAGATTGAAACGATTGGATCTGATTTTACCGTGATGTATGTAGTGCCCCCGAGTCTGTCGTTAGCATTTAGCCTAGCCATCTCTTTCCCGTGGGGAGTAGCGCCACAATTTTGGCCAGCGATCACATTTGCTAAACATTACTCTTGCTCCGGCTTCAATTTCTTGATAGAACCAGACCGGATTACTTTACTATCGCAGTCTTCGTCATTACCAAACTACAACTACAACCTGCCCGTTCGGCGCAAACTCTTGACGTCACCAACAACTAACTACAACACCCGCCTCCCGCGCTCGCTGATTGGTCGGATGGATTTCA